TTTACATGCGAATCGCTTTTCACGTATCACGATAATTAATTAGTCTCATCAAAAGTTCCGTTCGGTGGATACATGTAATTGCGCAATGATATACCGGAAAGTCGTTGGTCCACAGGTTGTCGGGTGTCGTACAGACTAGGCGCTTGACCTATTATTCCTAGCGTACCACCGATGCATGCGATAGTGAATATCCAAAGAAAGAATCTGTCCAGAACCATAGCTACAAATTTCCAATCTTCTATGACCTGTGAGAATGGATGGATCCTTTTAAAATGCGACTTAAGTTACTCTTGTCGATATTGTATATACGATTGTATAGATATATTGATATACGATTGTATAGATATATTGATAGATATTGTAAAAAATATAGTTGTACTATATCATATATAAAAGAAATATTTAGAGACGAGTCGAGCGAGGACGAATAAAAGAGAATTATTATAACGATACGAAATTATGCGGGGTGAGAACGTTAAAAGCGAATTCTATACCTCATTATCTTTGTCTGCGTCTTTTATGTGCTGAGCAATGAAACGCACACCCTTGAGAGCTGATATAACGTCTGGGGATAAATGTTTCGGCATCGTATTTTCGCTGTCAGTAACTGAAACGATGTGTTTGATCAACATTTTTTTGTAAGACTTTAATTCTCTTCTTTTTGCTCAACGATACACTTAAGATTTATGTCATTTATCTTGTACCATCTATCCTGTACCATCTGTCACATACTATCTTTAATAGTGCAGATTATATTGTTTAAATATGTTATATAATATGTTGGAAAAATCATGTAATGGATGTCCTACTATTTTGTTTTCACGAGTATCTTACAATAATGTATAAAATTACGTGTAATAAACGACAAAATTTTCGTATAAATTTGATTTCTCTTTATTCTAGAAAAGTAATTCAATAACGTAATTCAATACACTAATGTTACAAAAAAAAAAAAACGCTTGAGAACTAAAAGATATGAATTGTCAAAACAGAAATAAGAATTGTGTCAAAAAAGAAATATTACCTGATGCGTGCGGTACATGTCGTGCATCATCATCTCTGATACTCTTGTATGTAGAAGTGACACTTTCGAATGCATCTGGGCTTCCTTTCAGTTCTAAAGGATAATCGCTTACACTGTCGAAAATTAAAGAATTAAAGACGAGCGCAGCATGTGATATTGGGCTTAAAATCGATTTGTCAAAACTTAAGTGAAGCAATTTACTTTATCTCGAATTAATATAATGCTGCAAACTTCTTATTTTTAATGTATTCTTCGTCAATATTCTTTCTTTTTATAACTTTTTTATCCAATAAAAATTTTCGATATGTACTTATACAGTGTTGTCTTATGACAACACATTTTATTTTAAAAAAATAATATAATATAAAAAGATTGACAAAAAAGGTATTTTCTCTCTCATCAAATTTAATATCAACATATTCTCTTAATAAAAGATGATACATGTATATGTATATAATGAAAGATCTTTTAAAATTATGATTAATTTAAATCTATTTTCAGGCTATTAAAAACTTAAACATCTCTAAATTAATGAGAAATTGCGTGATATTACCTGAAATCTATTTCATTAGTGTATGCACTATCCATGTAAGTATCATCGTATTCTGGCGTAGAGTATGGTGTACGTCGCATCATTAATATCCTCGGCATCCAATTCAGAAACACTTGTTTTACCCACGGCGACATATTATGCGTCGAAGGCGATCTATGTTATTTAATTTATTAAAGGCTTTCATAATCATAATGTAACAAATTTTAATACGCAATTTTTTTATTTTCATAAATTACGGCTTTATTACACACATACACACACACACACACACACGACTTACCGGAAATGTACATTTAAGACGCAGACTGTGATCCAAATGGATAGAGTAACTAAAATCATGGTAAATAATAGATATTTTCCGAGTAAAGGTATGGCCAACGATGTTGGGGGAATAATCTCGGCTAATAGCAAGAAGAACACCGTCAATGAGAGAAGAATGGAAGAACACAATGATACCTGCGTGACAAATACGAAGCAATTATGACAAATAAAAAAAATAGAATTATATAAGTATTTCCTGTCAAAAAATATTTACTATAAAATTTGTTTTTCATGGCTATTTCGTTGACGTGACATTTTCCTACATTCATTGTCTGCGACGAAATGCGTTAACAGAGATTACAATCCGGTGTAAGAAACTTTTCCAAAGCCAAATAAATTTTCGTGATCTTCGGTAGACTTTAATGATTCCGATTCGAATGATATATATTTACCTTTTCACCAGAATCGCTGGGCAGATAAAAAACCAGCACCGTTAAAAACGTAATGCCAACGCATGGGATAATAAGGTTGACAGTATAAAATAGAGTTTTTCTTCTCATCGTAATATTGAATGTGATATCTATAATTAAATGATAATAACGATTATTTGGACCAAATTATCTAAGATAAAATATTTGGATGAAAATATAAATATCGCTCCGCTAACAATGGAAATAATTTAAAAAATTGTTTACTCTGCATATAACTTTAAATGTTATTAATTCTTTGCATATATATATATTTACCCGAATAAGGTTCCGCGCAACATGGATAATATTCTTCGTTGCGTGCTGCTGGTACTTCAAGAATATCCCATTCCACTGATAAATAAAAATCGCTGAGATCTATGCCGATCTCCACTAGATTGCTACCAAGCTCTTGTTTCATATGCTTTAGATCTACCTGTGGGCAAGAGGCTTTACAAAGCACGGTTTTGAAATATTTTTTATATATTAAAGCCAAAGAGCAATTAACTTAGAGACTTACAAAGCGATTAAAGTTTATCACAATAAATATTGTTCATAGAAATTAAATCAGCGGTTATGAATAATGAATTTATATAATTTAAATAGAGATAAAGAATAAAGTAATTAATTAAATAAAAAATTATTTTAACAAAAATCTGTACAAAATGTCCTAAAACTACGAGATGTTCTTTTAAATTTAAAAATATTTGGCTCTCTCTAATTTGAAATCTTATAATATATTTATCAAAATATTCTAATTTTCTACATTATACATTTAATTACTATAATTTTTATAACATTATATACATGTTATTTTCAAGTAAGTTTCAGATTTTACGTTTTATTAGTGTAAGAAGTTTAATTTTAATTTTGGTGAACAAAAATAAATTTGAAAGCAACTGAACAATATGGTTTCATTTGTCTGTTTACTTTGTGTAATAAGGTTTAATTCGCAAAAAAAAACTTTCTAATTTGAAACATCGACTGTATCGTTGAACAAATATTGATTTTAAATAAAGAATCCTTGTTAACAATGTTCGGTTACTTTAGGATATCCTATATTGTTTGCATAAATATACATTGTTATAACCTGAGCACCGTTGTAAGTCCACGAGCCAAACTTCATAATACACGATTGCTCATCAAACGGGAAATACTCCACGTTAATCTCACAGGATGACTTGTAAATAGCCGGCGGTTTCCAGTATACCTCGCCAGTAAATTTCAGAGTGGCCTTCGTCATTAACGTTACTTCGTAATTTCCATCTGCGCTGTAACAGCAAACAAGAGAAGATTAGAAGATTGAAAGTTTGCGTTTCTGCATAATTCTCCTCATTCTTTTCTAATTTATTAAATATATTTCTCGATTTTCTCCGTGGACAATCGCGAATAAATTTCTTTCCTTATTTGGATAAAATGTGACGTAGATCTTTCAACTGTATTTCATGAAAATTCCGTTGCAATTTACTTGTTGTATAGTACAATGTCCGGAAGCCATATATTTTCGGAAGGCACGTATAACATTTCTATACCACCATACTCTTCTGGAACCCATGTTAATTTATAGTCAATCCATTTCTGCAAAGAACAAACCGAGTTTGTAAGTCTGCCTATATCGGCCGAATACTACTATGTAAGTGAAAGAAGATGGTATAAAACCGACAGATATATTACCTGCTCTACCCAGACATTCGTTGTCATAACTTGATTCTTTAGATTCTGTAATAAATATTAATCATTAATTTCCCGCCAGATTCTTAAATATAATTTGAATAAATAAAAAATAATGAATAAAATGATAAGTTAAGTTTCAAAATATTGTTTTAATGACAGGTAGCATTTATAATAGTCTATATACCATTTCTATCAATTGCGACAACTTTAATCCCATCCAAACTGTTAAAGTATTCGTATTATTATTAACAGGACGTATCAATCTATTGTAATTAGACAATAAATCGTCGTAAAGTCTCTTCGTATCGGGATTCGCTTCTAAAACTCTGCTCCCTGTATAAAAAAGAATATTTATTAAAATATTAATTATAATTATTGAATAGAAGCATCACATATAATGACAAGATAAAAGTGGCAATATATAGATGCATTATATACAGTTACATTAATTCTATCGAGTTTTTTATCTTTTTGAAAAATAAGAATTTTGAAAACTATATTCTTTTTAAATTGGCTGCAACTCAATTAGAATTCTGTATGTACTAAATATATTTTTTAGTAATTTAACAAAACACTTTTAAAATATTTCTCTTTACAATGCCAAGATTTTTTCAGTAGTGAAATTTTATGGTACCTCCAACACGTAATGTGATAGAAAGGGACACACGATTAACGCAGCTACCTTATGAAATTAAGGAATTTGAGATTTATTCGCTTTTATAATAGAACGAATGTAACTGGACGTTATCGATTTATCCAAAGAATCGTCTTATCTGATAATCACCGAACTTACCGCAAACGATGCTGAAGACATTGAGCAAAACTGTGAGCACTGACGTCCGCATCTTCCGTACTGTTTACAAACGCGTGTGAAAGTAGGACACTCAGGAATACACCCCGTGGGAAATACTCGGAGCTCTTCGACACACGTACCTTGGCAGTAGTCTTACAGTTAAGTGGTGTAAAAAAAAAAAAATATGGCGAGCGATAACAAAAGCGCTTAAGATGCCGAACGGTGGCGTGTGGTCGGCGAAACGTCGGGCGGCCAGCATCCCACTGGTCCACGATCGATATCCGAACTTGCCGCCATGATACTCCCGCTGCCTGTTCAGGGAGCGACTTGTTCCACTTGCGCGCCGAGACGGGGTTTGCATCTGCGCGTTTCGCGGGACAAAGGCAGCAGCGCGGAAATCGAGGAGCGCGATTCTAAAATGCATTCAGACTGTCGCGATGAGAGAATGAGAACTTTTAAAAGCTAAGAATTGAAATTCAACTCGCCGCATAATCTCGGTGAGTTCAATTTCCGATGCTACGCGGACGTACGCGGAAGAGTATTTTACGCCAATCGTCGCCTCTTTATTTCCATGAATAAACATTGGAATTATTTATTATCTATTCATCGAATCCACGAGTACTGACTATGACAATGTTATGTTAAACAGAACTTTATATAATATCATTTGTATATTTCATCTTTTATTATTCTAATGTTATTAACTATTATTACATTATTTTTATATAATATAAACGTTACAAGATTTATTAAATATGTCTCAGAAATATTTCTTTTATTCTTTAAATCTTCGTTTTAATTTTTTTTTTTTTTATAATTTATTCAATCATAATATCAAATTCATTCAAGCGGCATTTTAATTTTTTAAAAACCTAAACATTTTGTACAATTACAAATATTATATTTGATTCGTGAAATAAAGTTAAAATGTTCTCTATAGAAAATTTTATTAAAAAATATTGTTAATATTATTTAAAACAAATCTAAACATATGTAATTAGAAATTAAAATACTTGAAAATGTTATTTAATTATCTCTATTACAATAAATTAATCATAATAATGAAATAATAATTATTAAAAGATAAATATACATATATATTAATGTTATATGGTTTTAAATTATAAAATTAAAAGTTAAAAGCTTTAAATCGTAAACAAATTTAGAATTTTTTCTCTATTAAATTTCAAGAAGATTTTGTTTGAATAAATTTTTGCGTTCTGGATGTGTATGTGTGCATATAATATTTAATTTTTGTTTACAAAATTTTAATACTTGATGATTTTACTAAAGGAAAATCGCGATTCTAGTTTGATTATTAAATGTATTGCGAGCAAAATAAATTTCACATATATCTTCAAATGAATCCAGCTTAACGATGAAATACCGACGTGTAGAGAGAAGTAAGTGGTGCCACACGCGATTGTATACCACTTCGTATCCTTGTTCGTCCGCTCATACGGCCTGCACTAAATTCTAATATGGAAATATGTCATGGCATTCGCGCGGATTAGTGCCGATAAATCGATTTTTGGCATCGAGTAACACCGCCAAATCCGCGTGGAAAGTCGCGCGCCAAGCGAGACGCAGTAACACCAAAATTCCATTTGGATTTATCAAGATCCGTCGTTTAATGTGCGGTTGGATAAATTTCTTAAAAGCTATCTGTCACGTGAGAGCGAGATCCCAATTTGGAGGAATCGCCGGGGAGATCGTTCCCGAAGAGGACAATTGAGACTTGAGATGCGACTTTCGCTCAACATTCCGGAGAGAGAGAGAGAGAGAAAGACGACGATTTGTGTTCATAATACCGCCGGATAACGCACCGTATTTCCTCCGAAGGACGGTGCAATTATGGCGTAACATCTATCCTGGGTGATGCGGTGTCCTCGAACGCCCTGGCGTCTAAAAGCCACTTTTGCGCACCCGAAACTGACCGATTCATTTCACACCACAGACACACAAGATGCTTAAGGAGGATGTAAAATTAACTAAATTTAGCCCGACACATACACATATTATATATGTAAATATAATATTCGTTAACTTACCAAAATCGTGATACCTTGCTGGTAGTAAATTTATTCTGCACGTGTGCTTTTGAGAAGAAGAAAGAGAAGGAGGGGGGAGACGAATGCTAGAGCAGATCGAATGTGCTTAAGTTCTGAGTGCCTTAGATACTTGCTCATCTACTTACGCCACTGCTAAAACGGACGAGAAAGACCCTTTCTCACAACTTTCACAAACACACACACACACACACACATACACGTATACGCATGTAATACACTCAATTTGTCTCTGCATTATATCTCAGGCTTTGAATCTAATTTATTGACAAACGATAGCTTATGTTCAACAAGTATATTTAATGTTGGTTGCAACAGTATGTAATATGCTTCTTTACAAGAATGTTTCTCTAATAAAATTTATTTTGTTTTTTTTTGTGCAAAAATATTGCAAGAGAAATGAAATATCCTAAAATATTTTTTTGACTTACTGAACAGATAAGAGTTTCTATGCCAATATAATTAAAAATTATACACCAGAAACGTACATTTTCGCTAAAAATGTGAATCATTGTCATTAAAAAATTCTTTGTATTGTTAGGAAAAACCTTAATAAAGCTTATCTCATTTAAATTAATATTAATAATAATTAATAATGTATATAATACGCTTAGATTTGAATAACAGATTCCTTGAAATTTTCTCTTAGCAAAAATATCGAAGCGTCAATAAAATATCCGAGTTATAAGCGATTGAAAAAAAAAAAAAGAAAATCTGTCGAGAACAAAGTTTCAAGGAAACGAACAGATGACGAAACCATACTTTTTATTAAATTCAAGTGAATTAGTATCTTAAGTTCAGCTTCTTAGAAGCAGTTATATAATGTTAAAAATTATAAAAAGCGGCGATACAAATGATGAGTTCCCTCGATATTCCTGCTAAAATCGACTTCGAGCTGATCAGAGAATTATGTCGTCAAAATTAAAATCGAGAAAAAGGGGAGAGAAAAGAAGACGGAAGGGCTTGTGTGGAACACGGCGTATAGTAAAATATTTACTCGGAGAGAATTCGCGACCATACAAGATCTTACACGAGACGACGTCGCAAGAAAGTGACGTTCCCTGAAGTCGGGACGGTGACCAGGAACGATGTCCGGGACGTGCGATCGACGGGCGCCGATTATCGATCAAGAGCAGTACGTAAACACATACACGTACACCAGGCCGGGGCACTTAGCGTATGTTTGTTTAGTGCCTTTTACGACTATATCGGTGAGAGGGTCCCCGCGTGTGTTAAGGCAAGGGGCCAGTGTCTGGCATGTAGCTGGGAGTCCTGCGGCGCCGCGCTTCGAGAGAGGGTCATTTATAACTGTTATCGTGAAACTTACTAGCCCACTTACTACCCTCCGCTGTCTGTTCCCTTCCCGCCCGCCCGCCTCCCCACAGCAACAGCAGCAGCAGCAGCAGCCATTCCATCACGGTTTCTTTTATCCACCGATCGTGTATATCGCGCGACCAACGGACACGCTATCCACTCTGAGTAATGACACCTCTGGACGCGATCGATGGATCGTGTACCCTCCTGTCTGCTTTTATAATTTTTGCATTTTACCAGACGATCCTCGGGAAGCCAGAACGCGCTAACGTTAATCCGTCGTCGACGTAGACTAACACGCTCCGTCGTTGTTCTTGCTGATGCGATACCGCTGCCGGCGTTAAATATTTGTCTCGTATAATAAATTTTGCCGATATATACGGGAATAGACGCTCTTTTAAATAATTAAATACGAACGCGCAAGTGTACGGATGCGACTTAATATAGTGTCCCGACGTCAATAATAAAATCTATTCGAATATGTATTGGGCGCGATAATAATTAATAGGCCGATTGTGTTATAATAAAAAAACACTTGAACTAATCTACCGTAAACGCATGCAGTACCGTTAATGGATAATATAATCCCCTCGTCGAAATAAAAAATTTTGTTCTCTTACAATTTTCATAATTTTCCTCGACTCTTTTAACTCTAAAGATCCAATAACTGCCCAAAGTATGTATATGCTTTATTATTAGCAATAATTACATCATCGTAAAAGGTATTGAGGAACAAAGGCTTGCTATGATAATAGTGTCCAATATCTTGCTGAATTATATAGCGTACGCGATACCGCTATTGTATACCGTCGTATATACATCGCTTATACCGAGTCCGTTACACTGTAAATTACTAAAATATCGTTTTTAAAGTAAATCACCATTGGCATATTAATTTACATTACGTCGTATTTAATTATATGTTTTTGTCGATACATTTTGCTACTTCAAAAATGAGATATTTTAGCTTTCATCACTTATAACGATCTCCATATACACGACATGTATCCGCTGTATCCACTATATCCGTTACAGATCGATATAATTTTCGCTCGTAGCGTTTATTTCACTTGTTGGTATCCCTCAATTAAACCTCTCCCGGAGAATAATAGAGCCGCGCGGACAATCATTCCGAGAATGCGCGTTATCCCACGCGCAATACATTAGCAATTTTCACAGAGCCGGCGATCCAACCGGGGGTCCACGGATCGACGTGCGTTAACTTCTCTATGTGTATCGGACGACAATCCCCTCGCTCCCTCACCCTCTCTCGATCGCGACACCTCCTCGCCCGCACACGCGCGCGCACAAAGCCCGGGGCGGAATAATTTATTTAGCTCGAGCAATGCAATAATGGCGTCGAGTGCAAACTGCAGAACGCGTTCATTACCGCGATCTGGTTGGGAGTGCGCGGCGGCGTGGACAACAAGGGCGGAGGAGCCGCTTGCTCGACGGACTGGCAGCGGAGAGGTCCTTTGAAAAGAACGGGCGAACAATTTATAATCCTTAACAGTAACACGCGCGCACAAGTGCGAATGACGTAAGCAGATTTTTTGCGCACCCTCGTCTCTCTCTCCACACTCGCTTGTCATTAATTATCCTCTCTCTAACGGAGCCGATTTCATTTCGCTGCTAAGAACGTTGTCGGTTTAACGACGATCCTAAGTTGTGCAGAGGAAAACAGGACGCGAGTTATATATACGCTTGGAATGTATTTTAAGTCCGGATTACGCGGTTTATTGGATACCAGAGGTATTACCGGCGATATTAGGGGCATCGATATCTTGATAATCTATCTTAATATTCGATTTTTGTTAGCGACTGCTTTTCTTGTCAATACATATGCGAGTGCATTCGCTGACCAGGCATCACTAAGGCGTTGTGAAATTCGTCCAATTTACAAAAACAGAAGTACTCACTTCTATATCTGTTTGCATACAAATATTCTGCTTTTTATAAGACTATTCGATATATATATACATATATATATATACATCAATCAAAAATTTAAATTTGTGTGCACGATGTGTATTTCGAGAAAAATAGAGGTACATTCTCATATAAAACATTTTGAGCATAAAATATAGAAGTATCTATGTTTTTTTTTTTTTTTTTAAATAGATATCAAAACATTAACAATCTCTCTGAATTGTAACTGATTGAAAATATAGCGGGTTTAATGGATTAAGTTTTATAATAACAGAACTTTATTCTTCGTTTATCTTTGAGCGAACTTTACTTTAACAGGATTGTAATTTGAGGGTTAATTATAAAGCTCTTCAAAGTTAAAATTTTTAAAGTTGAAAGTTGTAATTTTTACTCGGAAAAATGGAGAGAAAAACGCGAAGGCAAAAGTCGTAAAAAGAATTCCTAGATTAACGCAAACGCAGTAATCTGCAGTATTATATGTATACGTATCTCAGAAAATGTGAAACTTTTTTAAAGAAATGACACATAATATTGACATAATATCTATTATATAAATAAATTAAATAAATAAAAGTTAAATAAATAAATAAAAAATTAGAGAAATTTATTATAACATATAATAGCGAATTTAGAGAATTTAATTTCCATGATTTTTCACATCGTGTATCAACTTCGCGATTCTCATTATTGCATCGCAGCGTTTTCACTACAGTTTTTGTTAGAGTAATGTAGGAAATGTTGCTTCACGTGTTATTTTCGTGTGATATTTTCGAGAGCGCGTACTTTGATCCGCGAATTTTCGGAATCAACGGAGCGAAGATCGTTTAAATCACATTCGATTGTAGTTTTTGGATATTACGTACGTGAATAACAATTGGCGCGCGCTGAATGGAGGTATTCCGAATGCAAAAGGTTTTATCCGCTGCAGCATTCAATTTCCCATATTCCGCATTCTCGTTTCTTATTCCTTTATGCCGTTATAAAACGGGAAATACGTTCCGATATAATTGTTATTAGCGCCGCGTTTTTAACTAATTCTAACAAATTATATCTTCCCTTTGATGTATCGTCTAATGGAAAGGTAAACAATTATTATGATTTAAAGCATCGACATTGTGACAACAGATCCAGTTCGTGTGATACAAAATTAACGATCTTGTTTCAAATATTCGTAAGTTGACGAGTTAGGATTATATTGCATGATACAAAACTAATAAATGATACACAATAACAAAAAGAATAGGAAGTATTCAAAGAAAAATTTTAAAATCATGCAAAAATCTTTGAATATATAATATATAAAATCTAATTATTTTTGTGAAATATTATCGCGTAATAATACATTTCACTACAATGATATCTACACATTTCGAAAAGAACAATTCAAATGTACTTCTTATAAAAACGTTATCCTCATTTTGGTGAATTTTATATTTTTAAATGCATTAAAAATCGTTCTTTTTGAAATGTGTACATCATTTTTTTTTTTTGTGAAATGCCGGTACATCAATAACTATTAAAAAGTTAAATTACTATAAAATTCAATATATTTAATTAAAATAATTTAAATTACAACCCTCACATTTTTTTTCCGTTTGAAAAGCTAAACACAATCTCATTCGAATTAATTCCAGAAACTTTTACAAAATGTGTACATCATTTTTTTTTTTTTGTGAAATGCCGGTACATCAATAACTATCAAAAAGTTAAATTACTATAAAATTCAATATATTTAATTAAAATAATTTAAATTACAACCCTCACATTTTTTTTCCGTTTGAAAAGCTAAACACAATCTCATTCGAATTAATTCCAGAAACTTTTACAGTGAAAATAATTGAAAATCAATCTGCTTGCGTACATATAGCTTCAGATGTGTTTGAACGTCAAGCTGAAAAGTAAGTTTTTACATTAAATAATGAATTTATATTCCATTACATTTCAAGCTATTCATACAAAATTTTAATTACACCAATTTTCACAAATTAGTTACATATGTGCATACGTAATATATAAGAACTTTGCTACATATAAATCAACTACGTATGCATATGTAATAAGAATTTCGCTTTCGGAATACAACCGCTTATGGTGTCATATTGTTCTATTGATTTCCGGTCTAGTGCATAAATATAAGAGTAGATTTGCTCATAAGAGAGCCAGATATAGCAACGCGAGAAAAGAGATAGTGATATTTATCAGATTATGTCTCTCCCTCTCTTTAATTGTAAGTAGACGAGGCAAGCAGATAATCATAGACATGGGAATTTTATCTTACACATCTCTTTCTCTTTCTATCTATTAAAAAATAGCTCTATCCTCCATCCCATTTTTTTACTCGAACGGAGACTTTCCACTCACGGCGAAGATACGATACGAGCAATCTATTCCTACTATATTTATGGTCCAGCGGTGTTTAGGAAAAATGGGGCTCGACCAATGTCGCGTGGTCGTTGCCGATTGCGACTGCTTTTTGCGAAGGAATCCCGATTGCGGATTTGTCGCGCAATTACTTCGGCAGAGTGGAAACAATTGAGCAACAGAGCAGCGGATATGTGCGCGGGAACCCCGCGTAGGAACTTCTTAGCCATAAATCCGTTCGCCATAAAATCCTTTACACGTACCGCATATACTGGCGCGCGCGCGCACGTGGAAACGCAATAAAACTTTCGGCAAAAACAATTATTTATCCGGATCCCGCTGTTCCGCGCAATGAGGGAAAATGAGTCGAAGTTATAAATACCACGCTGCGGGAAAACCGCGCATGCTACGCGCTGGATAAAAGGGAAAGATCTATGGCGGGGGGACGGAGGGAGGAAGAAAAATAAATCTGTTTCGCCTTTTCCTTTTTTTTTTTTTTCGCGTCCGAGTCTCGCCCTTTTGTCTCGCTCGCGCGACAAAGAATCGTCTCGGGGGCCAAAGTTGCGGGATACGATTAGAGCGAGCGCGTGACACCATCTTTACTTTCCTTTATCTTTCCTTGTTCTGTCAGCAATAATTCGTTTATCGCGTTTTTGTTGTTTACTAATGCCATAACGCAGTGACGTAATAATAAGGACAGTAATTATGATTAAAGAGTAGATATAAATTTATTTATTGATACTAAAAAATTAATTTTTAATCAAAGATTGCGATAAGCCAAAAATACTGATTTTAATTGTAGGATCTTTAGTTCATGAATAACAATTCATATTTATCCGTTCTCTCATTATTTATATATAATATAATGTGAATATTCATGATTAATATTGTTGATTGTTATAGAAATTGCTGTTAAATGCGATGGAAAATTGATTATTGCATAAAATGAAAACGAGTTAAGTATTTTTAAAAAGAGATTAAAAATAAATATATATTTAACCAATATAAAAAAATCGTTTTTTTTTATTTAAAAGCACGATTGTGTAAGATTAATAAAGATGGATTGTTATTAATTTAGTATTGCTAATCTGAGATTTCTATATATATATTGATCTAGTTTTATACATATAATAGAAAATTAATCTCCGTATAAAATAGAAAACTAATTACGCGATTCCCGGATAAAGGCAGATTAAATAATGATCCCGGGGAGAATGGCGATTAGGCTGACGATATAAGAGCGACTATGATCGCGACGTAAATCCGGAGCCTCGCTGGTTGGCTTACGTGATCAGAATTAATCACAGTTATTTAGCGGTTGAATAAATTTCGCGCCGATCGCGTTGAATTTCCGTGCCGGTCGACGTGTGTCGTCGGCTGCGACGACGCACCTGCGCCACTGAAAACATGAATGAAGCACTCGACTAACGTATTTACGGCAGAGTTGTGCTTCGTAATTCCTTGTAATTAAATCACCAAGGAAGTTCGTTTCGACGTGGATGCGCGCGCGCAGGAAATGAGGATCATCGACTTTCAGCGATGGTTTGTTTCACGGCCCAGGTCGTCTCATATCATCCCGTTATTAGTAAAAACATTTCACCATTCGAGATGAAATGGCGGCGATAAAGTGATAGGACGAGCGATAAGCCGAGAAATCGATCGAAAGTTTGGGTATAATAGATAGTTGGGAAGGCGAAATCCGAATCAGAAATGCGGCTATCGGCAACTCCAAAATCTGTGCAAACTTCAGCGTTTGGAGATTCTACGTTTCGTATTTCAAGAAATCGATTGTGAAATGTAACTTTGATTGCGCGCTATTCGACGCCCATGCTGCATATCAAAAACATCCATAAAGATCAGATAACAACGCTATATTTGTTAACATTTGTAATCTTTTTTTTTTTTTTTTGCTTTTGATAAATCTTTCTCCTTGATAATAGATATGCAGATTTTGCAAAACAATAAAGATTCTTTCGTTCCGTTGTTAGGCTATGTGTTTAGGTTGTCCTACTTTGGTACCGTGTCAGACATCGTTTCTCCTGTCTAACATAAATCCTACTTATGCCGGCGGATTTGCTGGATTTCGTCTTGAGAAGATTTAAACTTTATATACTTGAGAGAGCTTAGAGATTCTTTATAACTGCTTTCATCATTGGTTCTAGTATTATAGTCAGCATAACCCCATTGACATTGCCCTGCTGCATTAAATATTTTATGCTGATTGTGCAAAAAATTATAAATTCGCGTGCTTATGTCCCGTTTATGAAATAGAAATGCATCAACTAATAAAATAAAACTAAATATTCATATCGTTGTAATGTATAATTTCGGAAGTCATTATAATTTATACATACATATTTGCAAATGTGTTGTATTGCTATTCCAGAGAGCGATAGAACTTCTGTATATATAAAATCGATATTAATAACATAAATCGATAACAATATTGAAAAATATGTACAATAAAGAACAATTTGAGATGATTGAATTTATTAAAATTTTGATATTTTAAAAATGGAAAGATTTAAAGTAAGCCTCTTTTCTATTACTGTATATAAATAAAGGAATTTTATAATAAATGTACGCGATAAATTGCACAAAAATTTTTTAATTTTCCAATCAATTAAAGTGAAGCCAGCTTGGAATAAATTTATAACTATTAATCTATAATAAATGGATCGATAACGATAATACGTTATGTGTATGTGTGTGAGTGTGTGATCGTACTATTTCAGTATTTAAAAAAAGAACAATTCGTTTCATAGAGTCGGTATAGATAATTTATTTCAGCAATACTGAGTTAACTGTATTGTAACACTACCTCTATTTTACGTGTACAAAAGGCAGCTAAATCAATATGGAAACATCAGTAAAGAGTAATCGTCGGATGCTCTGACTGAACCATTTGCCTCTAATCGCTAGCGAAAGCCGTCATTGATGAACCCAGTCAAACATACTGCATCGAGGTTTAACGAAACGTTTGTGTTAACCATCAAGAGCAAACCTTGTTCGGTGCTGACCCCCATCGTTATGTTGCTTCTTCATTCGCTTTTCAGTAACTCTCAATTTTCTAGTACATACACACATAAAACATCGTCGATTATATTAGTTCGTGAGATTAAAAGTGGCTTGATAAAATGATAATATTTTAATATTATGATAATATATAAATGATAATATTATTCTACAATGAGATACTAATTGTTTTGCAGAGGATTAAAATTGATAATACAGAGCTAAATACTGTAACTTTATTCCAAATGTTTATTCAATGAAATAATGATGATACGATACACGAGATCGATATGTGTTTGCGTACTAATTTAATTATTTTCTTAAAACCTGTATATATGTATAAAATATCCAACTTTATTCATATAATTATCTCCCTCTTGCAAAAACATTGGGAGCCACTGATTTAACTATTTTGAGATATTTGATTTAGCGACAATATATAACGGACACACATCGACAAGAGAAAATGAAAATGGTAATAGTTGTAATGCTGATATGATATTGGTATTGATGAAATCATTAATTGCAAAATTGTTTGCAAAATTTGTGAAAACTTAACGAATTGATAATAACTGTGCTACCAGTGCGTAAAATATGAATAATCGCTTATTTAATTTTTAATTTAGGTTTAATGGAATGTCACATTAATTTATTGTTAAGGAGGAAAAACAATCAAAAATTTTTATTTTTATCCTAAACATTTCGAAAACGCATGTAACGAGTAAAAATAAATAATATAATTTGGAAAATAAATAGAGAATATTTTTCAATATAGAAATGATTAAAATAAAAAAAAAACATATATTTTTGGATAGTCTCCCGACTGATCGATATTATTAGAGAGAATTGAATGTTCAACTAAAAGTCAATAATTGTCGTAATACGTATTTCTCTCTTTTTCTTTCTCTGTCATCCTATCTGTGCAGAGCTTTTTATTCGAAAACATCATAATCTCTGACATTCTTGCCTTCTTTTAGCAAACACTGCAGCAACACTTTTTTAATCGCGAAAGGCGGTTCAGATGCTTAATCTCTTTTTCTTATACACTTGTTTTTAAATTTATTCATATCAAAAATTTAACTTCATTTTATGTTCATTTTTGAGCAAGATAATTTACATCTGCTCTCTTTTCATATTTTAAATTTCTACTAACAACATATGACATCTTAATTAATAATTTCTTATATTTCTTAATTTAAGTTCATTTATAATGGATGTATCTTTACATTATCTGCGTCTATATATGTTGCAGCGTCTAATGTATTATTATTTCGCTTTCTCGATTATTTTCTTCACTTTCTTATTTTTATTTCTCATCATATTTATCTTGCGCAGCGCTGCTTATTTCTTATACTCGAAGAAGTTAATTCTAGAGCTAAATAAACCATCTACCTATATATTTATCTCTTTCTCTCGACATCGATACATTCAGTTTCGTCGTAAATGAATATTGTATGTAATTAACGACCGCATCTCGCGCGGGTTTCTTTTGCTCGCTGCATTTACTTTTAATGAAGGGTACCAAGCTACCATCGAGAAAGCGAACTTTACAACAACCAGGCACAGGTCGTTCTAGAAATGTTGCGCTACCGCGTTGGTCTGTCAGAAGTATTCAGTAACAATAAGTTCGCACGCAAAACAACCATCCAGTTGCGGTACTGTCGCCCGTCTGACTTGACTCGACTCAGCTCACTTCCGGATATTAATGATACCGGATGCGCGATGTAACAATGATTGATTGCTAAGGAAAACGAAAATGTTTTGTGGAACATCCGGTAATACCATATATACACTATGCGCGATAAGAGAGAAGACGACTATATATCACTAAACAAAATCGAATCACTTGACTTCTATTTTAATTAAAACAATGGGAATAAAAATTGAATATAGAAAAAACTTTTGTTCAAAAGTACTTTATCAATTGCGTGATTATATAAGACGTTTATTAGATCAATCCCAAGAGATAGACATATCAATATTTATAAATTAATCCAGCGTTAAATAAATGCAAATTATATGTTTATTAACTAACTATTTATATTTGAGTATAAATACAAATATTCAAAAAATTTGTAATATATAAATAAAATTTATAAAAAATATTTGTAAATATGCCCAATAATTCTATCCAGTAAAACACTTTGATTGATTTCGAGTTAATTTTTCTTCGATAAAAAAATTAAAATTATCGTGGTTTTCCATAATATTTAAAAATTTAATGTTAAATATTTTGCTAATATATATTTGGCTTATATTAATATTTTTATATTTAAATATAAAATACGTATTTTTTAAACAAAGAATAAATTATCAGTTTTGAAATTTAGTTTAAAGAAAATTTTCAATTTCCATGACTTATAACTCGAAAGCAGTTCATTTGATTATAAATTAGCAAAGAACAATCTCTATAATTTATATGTTTAGTATTGTAGATACGCGGTTATTAATAATTTATTGTTTTTTATTGGATTATTACAGCAAATTGTGCGGAATGTACAAACAATATTTTCATGGATTCGATAATGTACATATATGAGAGATGGTGGGGCATTCATAAAATATCACATTTATTATATTAATTTCCATAGATGGCCGTGTCATGCAAACGAGATGGCAGAGGAGACCGCGATGCAACGGTCGGATCATCCGAATTTAATTTATTCACGCGGTAGTCGATAAATCTTTCGTGTATTAGCATACTGCGATCTCGATGGCAGGCTAAATTAATAATCATACTATCGGTTTCATCAACGAGGCGCTTTCATCACTCTTCGGACGAATTATGAGGCGGCTCGCGTGTTACGCATGATCACGAAATAAAGCAGATACTTTGTTTACTCGCTCGTAAAATAATTTGCAGTCATGAAAAGAGTTGCATTAAATATAGCCTGCATTATCTGCGATTATATTCTGCGATAATCATCGACAATGCAAAAATAAAACGTGGAGATGCCAGAAAATCCTATTAGTGAAATGATGGATGTAATAATTGATTTATTCATATTTTCTTTTTGCTGTAATTTATTTTTCTTTTTTCGCAAAATAGAAAAAAAATATATTCGGCAGCTTTGAAAAGATTAAAATATTAATATTTTTTATATTAATTATTTAATTACTATTTATTAGTTTGTACTACTTTTACTATTACTTTCTCACCGCACGCTATACTCTACGCTTTCTATTTGTAAAATTTATTTTATAAATAAAAATAAAGTTTATATTTTAAAGAGTTAATTTACGCAATTATTCCAGTAGATCCTTGTACAATCGATCTCGGGAGTATTTAAGTACTCCGAATACCAGTGTGATCTGGAAACACAAGTATGTAATGAAGCGGCGAATCAATCTTTCACGTAGTTACGGGGCGTATATGGTCAGACAAGGTAAATGTCTAAGTAGTAAATATACTCATGTGGTCAGTCGTTCAGACATCTAAACGCCGACGAATCGTTCGAGGTGAATAGCCAGTGGCACACAATTGCGATTATGTTATTCTATATATTATTCTATATATATAGGATGTCTCAAAAGAACTTGGACTTTCATGGTACAGCGGTATTTTTTCTTCAAATTTTCATTTTAACATGTTTCTTTTTTTGATAACAAATACGTTTAGCGCGACATTTTTCTTATACAATTTTCAAATTTTTAATCTTTCAAATATCTTTATTAAATATATAGAAAGATTTTAATTTGCCGACGAGATAATTTTATATCTCGTCGGCAGTAAACCTTTTATGTGTTGGGTAAGCGACGTAACGGCTATGAGAAGTGTCGACAGAGAGAAAGACGAATCGCTATATAAACGGGAAATATCGTAAATTACACTCGGCGGTAGGAGTGTCGGGAAATTTCGAGCTTTGTAACGTCTTCGCAGTTATGTAACGAGAAAGGGCATTTGCAACGCGTCGAAGCCGTCCCGCCGTTGTAGCCGGCGGCGCGGCACGACGGCGACTTGGAGAGTGCCGGCTCGCCAGCTTTCAATAGAGAGGAAGAGAACCGCACCGGCGATAAATTTCTATCTCGCGACGTGGCCGCGGCGGCGGTGTCGGTTTCGCGGCCGCTGACGCGCTCGTTAATTGCGATCTTTTTATTTCTACCTACCCGCCCAACGCGACATATCCGACGTTGAGACTTTTTGTCACGGCGGTATTAGAGCTCCGGTCTTTTCGCGCCAAGTGTAAACGCGGGGAGATACACTCGTAAAAAAAATTATGCAGCTTGTCCGGGATTCTGCATCAGGCTTTATAAACGCATTCGTATTATTCAATTATAAAGTATGAAAGAAAATTTGCGTATCTGTCATAGATGTTTATGCATAAAAATGGTTAAAGACATAATTTTTTTTTAAATAAAAAAGAAATATGATATATATAGGTATATATATTTATTTATTTTTATTACAATATTTAATATTATATTTAAGATGTATGACGTGTATGAAATAAATACTAGCTGTCAATCACTGCTTCACGTTACGTATTTTTTGACGTCTACGGTACGCGATGAGTCGATATGAAATTCGATCAGACTTTGTTCTCATCTCGTATGTCAATCTTGATAAAAAAAGTGTTGCAAAACATCGCTAAAAATTTTCAGTACAAGAATCTGATGTATCTCCGAGAAATAATTTTTCGACGATATGTTTTTAGAGAGAGAGAGAGAGAGAGAGTGTGTTATAAAATGATGAAACTGTAATATAATATACATTTTTGAGGGGATTTATTTATTATAAATAAAAAATGAAGTAATAAATTAATTCATGAGATAAATCTCATGAAAATTCAGACATTAATAATTTTCCTCGTGCGTGGACGCGCTGTATTTATAATTAATATCTTTCCAGTAAGCACATTTAAAAGTCGATATTCCTAAAATCGGGAATCGATTTCTAAAAATATAAAAGTAATTAATTAATGAGTTTTATTACCTCCAAATTCTAATTAAATCCTTAGTTCCCAATTGGGTCATTCAAATCAGGAGTTATTTTACTTTAATAATTTTGTAAATGAAATTAATGCGACACTAATGGCTCTCTCCAAATAGATAATG